AGTAAAAAAGATAAAGTATAGAACATACAGTATGATAATCTAGGATGTAGCTAGTTGTAATGCCATTATTGATTGTGATTTGATTAATTGATAGGCAGTTGGTGTCTTATACCTAGACTAAAAGAGGATGTGTTATTTCACTGCAGTTTTCATTTTTTTTAAGCCTTGAATCCTCTTCAACATAATGCTTGCAGTCATATTCAGAAATTATTCAATTTTAAATTGATGAGTGATATTTTTAACACATGTAATGGTCTTTGTAACCAATAAAATAGTCAGGCAAACAGCTACTGTAAATATACAGCTTAAATACAATCATTTACTAGACAACGGATTTGTAATTCTGTTTACCCAAACTTGAGATTCACTCACTTCTGCCACACTTAAAAGCAAGGTAAGTGTTTCATTGAACGATCAATAAGCATCACTACTGCAAATCTATTGTTTATGTTGCAGACAGATGGCACAGGGTGCTGCAAAAACTAAAACAGGAGATAATAGGAAATAATAGTGTCAACTGTCTAGCTATTCAGCGTGGCAGAGGTGTGTGAATACAAACATTTCTGAAAAGAATTACTTTTTTGGAGAACATTTAAAATAGATGCATTTCAGTTCTATATTCATGTGTTTTCTGGAGTTTCTCTTTAAGGAGAGATCTTGTTTTCCCCATAGAAGAGCAGATAACCCTTTCATTGCTGCTATGTTAAAATAGAAAGTCGTCCATGTAGGTTTAAAATATTGGGATGGGTTTGGTAAGTTGCATAGAGAAAGGGCCAATATTTCATCTCTACCACTCAGTCACCATTTTAATTTTTCTGACTCGAAACTAAAGAAAGGTGAAAGATTATTACATGTTACTGCATTTAGTACATATTTGTTACTCATAGAAAACCAAAATGAACCTTTTAAGCATCAGAGCTATTTTACAGTTTAAAGTGGACCTAAAGTCAAATACTGTGCGCCAGTGCGGGCTCTATCCAGGTCCCACCCGTCATTGATTTTATTTCCTCTTCTGTTTCTTTAGTGGTAGCTCTGGGTGAGAAATGGACACTGATTGGTTGCCTCGTCCTGAGCCATTCTAACTGGTTACATTAATTATTGTCTTTACAGCAGCCAGAGCCAGCTGACTCCTGCACAACTTGTTGTGGACAGATCTGTCAATTGACAGCCCGATCATCATGATATAAAGCGGCCTAAGGGCCAGAGTGAGGAGTACGAGTGATTGCCAATTTAAAATGCCACTAGGTTCCTCTCTTCAAGCTTATAATGGGGCGCAAAGAGAGAGGGGCTAAATTAACATGACTAATAGAAAGGGGTACTGTAATTATAACTGAAACTATTAGAAACAGGTACTGTAATTAAACCTGCAACTAATAGACACGGGTACTGTAATTATACCTAAAACTTCCTTCCATGTTTCACCCTAAATCAGTTATATTCTTAATACATTTATTATAATACACACCACTGGAAAAGGCAGTTGCCAGATTATCATATATTCCCTGTTATAGTATATACATGTTTTGTAAGCAGAAGGAGCAGTCTGTCCCTTCTTCCTACTTTACTTTTCCTGTCCACTTTCTGCTCTTACTGCTTCCACTGTGTTTTTCTAGACCCACAAAAAACAACCAGTAATCAAGCAAAGTGATTAGGTTTTGCTGTCCATTCGGCTGTTAGAATGTTTGGACTTTCATGGTCAACGTTAAGAAATTTGAGTGCAGCATTACAGAGTGATCAAGTGGGGTATGAATGGCTATCAAATACATCAAGTTGGAAAGGTCCACTATAGATTCAAAATAAAATACACTGTAGCATAAATAGATAATGCTATACAACATCCCAGATAGCAAGAATAACTTGCTACAAACTTGTGGCAGGGTGAAATTGTAATTTTGTTAACTTCCTGCACATATTCCTGGAAAGTTGTAGACTTGCAGAACACTTTCAGCACAAGTTCTAGTTGACACTTTTTGAATTTGTAGCAAATTTGCTTGGCAAGTCTACAGCAAGAGTCTTGCAGGTCTTAGCAAGAGCTCTGCAAGCACGTTGATCTGGAGACTTGCAATGCAGGCTTGCTGTAATTGTGCAACAAAATTGTGAAGCTTGGCAAGTCTTCAATAGTTTAGCAAGTCATTTTCAAACTTGCAGCTCAATTGCTTGCTATCTGGGAATATAGAGTTATTTAATCTTGCTAAGGTATTAGAAGGGAGTCAAATATCTTGACGTTTTAATTTATTTGTAGAGAGCATACACTTGAGGCCCAGTTGCACCGCAGGTCCATCAACGTATTTCATTATTATTTTATTACAGGCGTTTATATAGTGCCATCAATTTACACAGTGCTTTACATACTCTACAGTCACTGCCCTCAGGGACCTTACAATCAGAACACCTTAAATACACCACTTTTTCTTTAGTAAATCAGAATGTTTTTGAGTATATCTGTAAATTCTTCCCGAAATATTTAAAAATGTAATATATTCTGTACAATTAATAAGCAGTGAAAACCTACCTATTATTTGGTATGGTAACTTTTTGCCATCCACTACACTCACAACTTAAGCAGCATATGAAATAATCAGCTTCATAGTCATTTGGTAAAGCTGCATATACCTTTATGAGTATCCTGTGCTTCTTCATAAGCTTGGGTGAGGATTTGCTAATGGAATAATTTGCGCTCTTGGTGAAGTGAAACTTGCTTGCTTCAAACATCAAGTCATGTACTGAAAAAAGTACTATTCTTGTAAAATACTCTGCACATGATTGGGTAATGAAGTAAACACAGACTCATTTTATCAACGCTGAGAATAACCCCCCCCCACCCCCTTTAGTTAATCTAGGCCTGGATGTATGCTATCCAGTGTGATTATCAGAGGTATAGCTCGCTGGAGAACTGGGCTGGGGGACAAGCGGGCGGGCTTTTGCCCCCCATGGCCAGTATTAATGAAAGAATGTATGTAGGGTTGGTGGCCCTGGGTGGAGATACTTTACCATTCAGAAATCGATCAGACCTGCAGTCATTGACACATGCATGCTGGTCATTAGTCATACATTTAGACCCCTGATCATTTTTCAGATCTACGATCACAGCATATGGTGGCAGTGGCTTTGTCATATCATGAGATAAAACACAAAGAGGTGCAAAGGAAGCTGGTGCTGAATCATGTAAAAAGGTGTGTCTTAAGAAACCTGGAGATTTAGAAACACCCTCCATTCACAATGGCACACTTTGCATGGTACACTTTTTTAGCCCACAGAAATTTGACCCTACCATAAAATGGGCAAGTTGGTTGATAAAGCTTCCCAGGTTGTGCTTGCCCCCCATGTCGAAGGTTCCCAGCCCTCTTCTGCCATAGCAAGTGATTTTGACATCTCTTACACAGGGATCAGGAAGGCACTCAAGAGTACACAGCAAGCATGATATCATGAAGGTGATTTTAGAATCTTGTCCTTACTGTTCTTAGAACAAAGCAGACAGAAATGAGGGTCTCGCTCAGGAGCATAACTAGAAATCACAGGTCCCCTTGCAAAATTTTGTATGCCCCCTCCCCCCCAAAAAAATGCCACTGAATGTATTATTATATATGATATGATTACATGATGTTAGAAACAAATCACTATCCTTGGACGCATCGATCATTCGTCCAGGAATAGCACTGACATATGCCACAGGGCAATACAGAGAACACTGAGCAAGTCACATTAGTTTCTGTACAGAAGCACTTACACTCTAATGCAGAATGGCATCGGCAGTAGGTGGACTACAAATCCCAGCAATACATTATACAGCAATGCAGAAAAGTATATGAATTGGACTCTGGACTTTGGAACGCACTGGAATCGGGACTTATGAACATACTGGAACCGAGACTTAGCAACACGCTGGAATCAGAATGTGGGAACGCACAGTAATCTGGACTTAGGAACGCACTGGCATCAGGACTTAGGAACGCACTGGAATCGGAACATGGGAACGCACTGGAATCGGGACTTAGGAACGCACTGGACTCAGGACTTAAGAACACACTGGACTCTGCACTTAGGAACGCACTGAACTCGGGACTTAGGAGCACACTGGACTCTGCAATTAGGAACGCACTGAACTCGGGACTTAGGAACGCACTGGACTTTGGACACAGCTGAGATCCTACAGAGCCCACCTGAAACTCTCTATGGTAGGCTCTGCAGGGTCTCAGGTGGATTGGTTGGGGTCCCTTTCCCTGCACATGCAGTTTCTTACCTGCCGCAACTGGGGCCCGGCCTCTTCTTCCTCCGCCGGACCAGCGCTGCTGGGGCCTGGAATCCAACACCTCCTCTGCAGTCACCTGCACAATCCCTGGTGATTAGTAAGGTCTGCGGCAGACCTTACTCATCAATCCTTTCGGCGGGAGCTCAGAACTGTCAGAGTGCCGGAGCTGACAGCAGCAGCTATGCTGTCTGCATCTGACAGAGATGCAGACTGTGTAGCTGTGGGCCAGATGGTACCAGTTTGTGGGCCAAAATTGGCTTGCGGGCCAGTACTAAGAGCCCCCTGCAGACCCTTCCTTGCTGCTGCTGTGCTGACCGGGCCCCCCCCCCCACTGCCCAGGGCCCCATGGCGGTAGTTCAGCCACTGGTATTGCTTCACCACATGAAGGAAACAGCAATGGTTATACATTGTTAGGAGGCTTAGCATTCATTGTTACTTGATATTGTACCATGAGGGACATAGATGGGTGCTCCAAATAAATGTTTCATTTTCCTTGCTGGCCTTGTTCTCTCCTGGACTTATTTATTAATGTCTTTCACAGAAAACCAAAAAATAAATAAAAAGCCACGCCAATTTAGTGTTACAGTGTAAAAAGTACAATTTCCAGATGCTGTATGGCTATTTTTGAGCTAGATATCTTGAGCCTGTGAACTATACTTATCTAATTTAACATAGAAAAGCTGAAATTTTTACTAAAGTAGAATTTCACAAATCACACAATAGTAACCTGTTTTTTTCTCCTTATTTACAGAGAACACCAGTCCCGAGCGCCGAAGCATTCCGGTGGTTCTTTTAAGCAGATCTATATCTTATTTTCAAGGCACTCTGAAGTGATTGACAAGCACTGGTCTTGTTTTGGGAACTGCAAAGTCCATGACTGAAGAATATACTGAGACACTATTTTCGTCTGTGTACAGGGGTTTCCTCAAAAGAAAAAAATATGAATAATATAAAAAAAATCATAAAAAAATTCACTGGAGCCTGGCTGGTTTACCTATGTTTAGTACACAGGTTCTTTCTTTATGTACTTAGCTATAATTAACAGTGAAATTGTTGTCTACTTTAAAGTGACTGCAAAAGGAAAGGTTTGGGTAAACCCCTACTGTAATATGATGTATCTTTGAAAAAAAATTAACATATCTATACTTCATTTCCAAATATGTGTTTCAGTACTGTAAACTGTACAGATAGCAGCTTGTATTTTGTGCGTTTAGACACGAGGAGACAATCATGTCTGAGCATCTATATGAAGATTAACAGTTTGTACGCAGCAGTGAGGTTCTGCAACTTAAATCTGGAGCAATAAATTCTAGCTTTAAACATTATTTTGCCAGCTGGTTAGTCACAGCAGCAACAGCACTGTCTTTTATTTTATTTATTCTCATTTTGTTTTCTTTTTTTGTTTTGTTTTTTTTTGTTTTACATTTTTGTTTTGTTTTGCTCTGTATACATTCCCATGGGCTTAATTTACAGAATGTTCTTCAAGGTCAAAAAAATTGTACTGCATCCGTTGACTACTCCCAAAGAAGCCAACTGTATGGAGAGTATTAGCTGCCAATCTTGGCTCTACTCTCATGTTTCCGAGGTCCTCCTTCTTTTTATGGACCTGAGGCACAATCCAGACAAAACGTTCTGACCTTTATGCACTTGTGTTTTTAAAACATAAAGGCAATCCCTCCAAAGCACTTACCAGAGATGACCCACTTTCCAGCGCTTTGTAGACCAGTGTGAAAGCAGCATATGGTATTGTTGTTTGTCCGCTAGGACCAGTCTTTTGAATTATTTGTTCAGGGAAACAGAAGTGTACTGTGACCATGTAATTGAGTACATGCCTTCTGGTCAAGTTTTTTTTTCTATAGTAACTGTAAACACTGTAAAATATAAATGCATTCTCACTGTAATGACAAGAGTCAAACATGCATATGTATTCCTGTATATATGTCATCAACAGAAAAGGTAGGGAACTCCAGATTTGAAGTGCATTGAGGTGTAAGTATGTAGGTAACTTTGTCTCTGAGAGATCATTCAAATTCTGTATTATTTTACACACATTTCTAGTTTATTTAAACAAGCCCTAATGCATTGAATAGAAGTCAGAATCTTGCTGGTCAGTACATACATTATATAATTAGGCATATTTGATGAAGCTAAACAAAATGAAGTGATACATATGCAAATGCAGAAACCCACAGAAACCAATAATATTATAATTGAAAGAAATAATTTTGATTGGTTACTATGGGCTACTGAACTTTGTGATTTTGCTTCTTTCTTATCAAGTGTTAGTCTGCCAACTTCATCACTTCAAGTCTGGAATTGCCCATCCTACAATGCTTTATTTTTTAGACCTTGCCTAAACACTTTCAGTTTGGCTCCAACTTTTTATTCCTGTGTAGCGGGTTTTTTTTTTTTTCTTTTAACGAAGATCTGATCTACTGAACAGCACCAATTTAAATGCACCTCTGGCAGATAAAGTTATATATAATTTTTTTAGCTAAATTGTGTATCTTACAAGAGAGTCTTGTATGTTTTCATTTTTGTGTTTTTGTAATAAATGTTTTATTGACATTGAGTAGATCTATAATAGTTTTAGAAACAAATTAGAACAGATTCTAAATGATGCCATCCATAGACCCTAAGCTGATTAGCATTTTTCTTACCTGTTTTTCCAGTATAAATGTATATGATGGAACTCTACCCAGGGGCTTTGGTGGAGAGAGATTAAGCAAAAATATGTAAAAATACCTAAGAGTGTTCCACTTTTCAGCTGATTGGGATCTTTTCTGGAGTCAAATAAATATTCAGAGCTGGAAAACTTACTGCAAGCAAACCTGTTTTCATGGCATTCCTGTCAAAATCCCTTCACTGCATATCAAGCTCTCTTCGGTGCCATAACTTGCCCTTAGTGTCCCTGTCTGTACATTGTTGCAACACTTAAAAAACACTCAGTATATACAGGTGTGGAGCACAGGTGTAGGGTCCTCCAATCCTTCAACAATGCAGTGCATTCGGCCTGCGTAGGTAATCACCATGCCTTAGAATTGTAATATTGTGTGGTGGAAGCCATGCCTAGACATAGGCAAATAGTGACTTGGTTGGTTTTTGCATGATCTTTGGAAAGCAGCAGTGGCATATTAGGAGACTGGAAGGGGCACTAAAGTTATGTTATGGCACGGATAGTTCATGGTATGCAGCTCTGAGGTTACAATAACAGGTATCCAGTGCATTTATACAGTGTCTGTGGCAAGCTGTTTTGGTGGTACCCAATATTGAAAATACACTCTCAGAGAAAAAGACAATTCATAATGTTATAATTTGTTAACTGGATTTCATGTGGCTGCTATTTACATGAAGCTACATGTTCACCAGCGTAAAAGTGATTTTGGAGTCTGGGTGTCAGAAAAATTAGTTCTGGAAGATCTTCTGTTCTGCCATTACATAAAAGTGCATTCTTATCTAACACAAAGACTGACTTTAAGCTCAAATGAAGCTAACTTGGCTCTTGCTTAGGAATCCAAACATTTCAATCAATTTCCAGCACTGTGCCATCTCAATTTCCAGCACTGTGCTCAATTTCCAGCATTGTGCCAATGAGCTTTGGTGGCCCCACAGCAGTTTCCATTCAGTGGATAGTTGGTAGAAATATGAGAATGGGATACCTGGCCCTGGTTTTCTCTACCCAAAAGTGGAAAACCTATTAAACATAATTGCTGAGAATGACTATGTTTAAAGTCCCATGAAGAGTACCTCTATCTCATTGCTTTTTCTGTGAAGAATGTTGACCATGACATTTTCTTTTATGGACTTTGCACAGGCCAAGCAATCTCAGAGATAAATATTTTGCAGGGTTCAGCAAAAGAATAACAAAACAAAGTACTATTTTCACATATATCTCATTTAATCCAGTACCATTTAAAACCCTTGGGTGGACTTTGCTTTAAACACACGTAAAGCCTTATTTGGATTTTGGCTTTGCACTTTTCATTTACACTCTGCATATTTGTTAATTCCCCCATAAATATATGAAATGATTCAGTCAAGCTACATTAGGTGTAAAATATCTATACATTTATTCTTAATTATGTACTCACTGCCCAATACCCTAATGTTGCATGTCTTGGTGTACTTTTGTTTTAATGACCTGGTTGATATAGTAATTGTGTTGTTTTACATGTCCAGTCCAATTTAGGGTAAAGCAAAAATGACAGAATTTAGACAAAAATCTTTTTTTTCTTGATTATTTTAGGATCATTCCATTCAATTTGATGTGTCTGTTCAAAATAAAATGTAGCCATTGTTATACATTTGACCCATATAAGAATCATATATTTTACATATACTTTACTCCAAAATGTAAAAGTGAAACATTATATTGACATATGGATTTTTAATGTCAATTTGTTTCAAATGCAAAATCATAAATAATCTCCATTTGTTGTCTTGAGAAATTCCTTGATTATTTTAGAAACCATTCCATTCGATTTGATGTGCCTGTTCAAAATAAAATGTAGTCAGTATTATAAATTTGACACATATAAGAATCATATATTTTACATATACTTTGCTCCACATTTTTAAAGTGAAAAAATACATTGACATATTAATTTTTCATGTTAATTTGTTTCAAATGCAAAATCGCATATATTCTCCATTTGTTGTCTTGAGAAATAGGGGATAGAAAGTGCTAAAAAATTATTTTTCCACTTAGCACTTCAAAAAGAAAATATTGAACCATCTCTTAATGTGTACATCTTTTTTTGCATCATGGATTAGAAAATGATACCTATTTGCATTAAAGAATCTTGGCATGTAACTCTCACAATTAATTCAAAAGAATAAAAATATTTATAGTGGTTACATCTGTAATCAGATAATGAGGAAGGAAATGTGTTAAATGAACATACCATTTAGGGTCGAATATCTTCAGCAAAAAACAGTAGTAGGTCTTTGATCATGGCTAGATGCATAGTGATTTCAAACACTTGGTTCCATGTAGCAACTAAATGTTCCAGATTTTGTTTGTCATTAAATTTGGCAGTCTCACACTGAGATCTACTATGTTCCTAGTGAATAAAAGACAGCTCCTACTGAATGTTAGAACGATTACTCTGCATAAAAAACAAGGGAACAGATTTTTTTTCTTTCTTTTTTTTTTTGCATTTTAATTTATGACCCACTGATATGTACTCCCTTCACAGTGTTCTCCTATTTCTGAACTGTGCTGTTATCTATTACATTTTCTAACAGATATATGTGTAAGGTGTATGTATGCTTGTGCAGTTATGGAAAAAGCAGTTTTGGAAAACAGTGTATTTATGAGAAAAAAAAATCACCTATGGGGCATGTACAAAACTGTAAAAAATACACATTAAGTTGCCCAGTAAAGTTGTTTTTGTGACATTTCTGTGTTGTTAAATAAAGGACTTTAGTATTCAAAATATCTGGCATTCTATAAAACCTAATTTCTTTTTAGTTTTTTTTTCTGTATTTCTAGTCTTTTATACAGATGAAATGACTATAAAAATCTCTGCTTAGAGCTGAACTCTAGGCAAATATAAAAACAGAAACTAATGCAGCTCTGTATTCAGTAATATATAATGAAATGTTTTGGGGGTTTTTTCTAACACATCTAGTGTAAGTACATACATTTAGCTTGGTATCAGGCTCTTGCAGTCCCTTGTACAGCAGACCTCAGACTGGGAGATAAAGAAGCAGTGCAAGGAGCCAGATAGTTGTTCATGAACTAACAAGGAACACACTGATAGAAGAAGAGAACAAAATGGCAGAGATGAGCTCATCAGTGTGTTGCTTCTCCTTTAACTATCCTGTCACAAGCTGGGGTAGGGACAAGACCTGTAGGCATAACTTAACTGCAGCAGAGAAAAATCAGGTCCCCATCCTTGCAGACAGGACTGTGCAGTGCGGCTGAGCTGTGTAAGGGCCCATTTACATTTCTGCATCATGGTAACATGCTTTACTACTTTGTGGTGCCAACAACGCACCTGAAGGCACCACAAAGAAGTAATTGGGCCCTTCAGGACTAAATGGACAGAAATACACAACCTTTGACAGGTAAAGTAGCTCTCAGAGATGTATTTAATCTGATGATTTAGCTGTTTGACTGTCCAACTATAAGAAAAAAAAAATAGCAAAGTTACATAATATCAGGCTATGGACCTTGGATAGTTTTTAACACGTCACAAAATACCTGGATTAAAGATTAAAAGAATATTTATTAGAACTTGTGTTAATTTATACAATGGGTGTTTCCATTGTTTAGTACATTTTGTTGTGTGTAATGGCTGATTGAGAAATGTACCCAAAAACCATATTGTGTCATAGGCCGGATATTTATGGGTTTCACGCCAAAGAGTTTTTAAAGAGTCCATTTAAACAAAAAAAACAGCAAAAAGTTTTCCAGCACACTCGCTAGCCAGCATGCTGGCTGGCGAGTGTGCTGGGAAACCTTTTGCTGTTTTACTGTTTGAAGCCCTTCCATGTGCACCTTGCTGTAAAGCTGGTAACGAACTGATGAGTGCGTTTGCCATTTGTTTTGCTTGACTCATTTAAACAAAAAGACGCACTGGTAAAAATCGTTTTTGTACATTTAAATATTTGTTTGAAAACAAAACTAAATTTTCTAATATAGGAAAAAG